TGGTATAGTTATAATTCGGTATTTTTCGGTAATTCTTTGGTCTAAAAATAGCGTTTTGTTTTGGTTTACACGCGCAATTTACTCGGAACTGCACTCTGCGCAGACGCAGACGCACATCCACATCGACGGACGACTGGACTGGGTAGTGGGTAGTGACTATAGTTACATTATATTCAACATTGTCGATTGTCACTACTCACTTGTTAGTTCGAGACTTATGTGTATGATCGCCATAGGTTCGAGATCATAGATCTTTTATATTTTTGTCACTGGACACGAACATCGCAGCCACAGCAGTAGAGCACGGAATAACAATAATTCTGTGGCCCCTGAGCCTAATGTGAGTACTGTTTACTATTCTTATTTCTCGTTAATGTTAGCGATGGTCTGAAAAGTGAAAGCGGTAAACGGGTAAACAGTAAACAAACATAACCACAACTTTGAACTTACTATAGTTACTGACTACTGTTGTACTCAACTGAAGACTTATCTGGACAACTGGTAAGTGGTAACTGGTTTCAGTTTAGCATCACGTATTAAATATTTTAATATTTATGTAGGTATACACTTTTTCGATCATCAAATCGTTTTTTGTTTTCCCCCGTTTACAGTTGTTATTATCATAATACATATTATTGTTGTAATTGATTGTAAGAGATTAACGTACCTGCTGAGTTGTGATTCAATTCTGTCGTTTTAGGCCAAGCACTGCCCGGACACCTTTCGGTCTGAACTAGCCTTTTAACGACGACAACTATGGAAACCGTTCGCGAAGGAGTCTCTAAACGGCCATTGGAGGAAGACGACGTTGGTGACGACAAGAAAAAACTGAAAACTGGACCGGACCTTCATCAGTTCTTGCCGACGATAGAGCACATGAAAACCGAGAAGGACGAGAAAAAGTGGAATTTTTTGCCTTCAATGGTGTTAGAGTTGCTCGCGCTTTTCAAGAATTCAGAAAAAGTGCACTCGGACGAAGACAAACAAGTATGTAAACGGGTGGTTCACAGTCTTCGTATAATAATTATTTATAAAGACAACAAGCTTATAAACCTAACAGCTTTTAGTTAACCACCGTCCATCATCATTAATGGGTTTGTTATTTTTTTTATTGATATTATAATATTTCACATGAGCTTTTCGTCCACTTTTCTCAACAACTCTGTTGATTGTTTAACATATTCATCTTATCTTGGTAGTGTTTGTATTGTAAGTTGTTATGTTTGCTTGAATTTCCTACCCGTTTACAATTTTTAATTAATTATATTGATCGGTACCTACATACAATTTCCACATATTATCTATGTCTACGCCATTTATATAGTCTGGGACTCTAGGTATAGATTGTATAGAAGTATAGAACAATAATAGGTACACCACAATTATTCATTATTATAGGTTGGTTATCTAGTAGGCACATGTAGGCTTCTACCTACATAACACTTTATTTTAATTTTTATTGCAACATTTCACACACTATCTAGAAATTTGCTCTCTCCACTGAATGTGAATAAAAACCCACCGGGAATCGGGATGTTTGCACCATTTCATTGACATGGTGTGGAATAATGTGGGATAATTCATTGGTATGAAACAAAAAATGTCTAGTTAATTATTTTTTTTCTCTAAATAAATTGTAATATTGGTAGCTTAATCGATTTTAATACTTTCAATAGTAACACTTTAAAGAATAGTAAAATAAGAAGTACTTTTATTTTAAATATTATTATCAATATCTTCAACAAAAAATTAAGTGCCTACTTTAGTAATATTGAATATCCAATATTTCAATTAGGTAATTCATAAACACCTTTTTGTGATCTATAATATGGTAGGTAACTATTGTGTGAGCACTATGCTGACATATTATGTATCTACTTTATCCAGGATCGGATAGAATCAATTATTTTCAGAGTTGTGGGGGCAGACTAAATATAGGTACCTACATTAAGTATAAAATGTAATCGTTCTAACCAATTTTAACAGTTTTTGGGCTGGTGAAAGTTCTATAACTCGGTAGGCCTCTATTTACCCTATCTTTAGCTGACTTTTACCTCTGATTTAGTCCCTTTTATGTAGTAATCAAATTCAACCAATATTTTATATAAGTTAGCATTTGGAACATAATAGATTTAACTCAACATCTTAAAAAAAAATTTTTACCTACCAAATTTGCTTAACTTATTAAAATAAATTGATGTTGTACAGACTATACGTATTTTATTTATATATTTATTTTCTTCCCAATTATAATTTTATGATTTATGGGCAGAGAAAGAAATAGTAAAGGATTAATTTTTTTTTATAAATATTTATCTTTTGAAGTGCCTTTGTATTTTAACATTACTTTCTTCTGTTGTCAGGATAAGATTGATAATAATATTAAAGAAGATTTTAAAGTTTTATCAAATCAAAATTGTCAAGAAAAAATTGTAGATAATGCCTTAAAACATGAAAATATGAATGAGGTTGATAAAATTATTATTGAAAATTCCAATTTACAAGTTTCTAGTACTGATTCAATGCAACGTTTGAATAAATTAGACTTCTCAGAAAAATATACAACAGAAGATGTTCCAAAAAAAGTACCATTGATTACAAAAGCATCACCAGTCAAACTGTTTGCTGAGAGTGCTGATGTCGACAAAGTAATTGTTTTTAAGTTTACAGTACTTTTAAAACTATTCATAGAGTTGATTGATGAAAGTATAATATACCCTAATTCCTAAAATAAACAATTTAAATTATTTAAAAATCTATATTATATTTGAATTTAAATAAAGAAGTGATAGGTAGGTACTGTTAATGATTATCTTGAAAAATATTTTAAAATATAGTTTACAAATGTTTAAAATAAATATAACATATTAACAAAGCTAAAGATAGTTTATTTCCTGGTTTGTTTATCCAAATAGAACATACAGAGTTCTGGAAATGTCAATAAACATTATTTAAGGAATTTTAATTAATTTTAGTAAGGTATCATCAGTTAAAAATTAACCCGTAGATTGTACCTTGTACAACTTTTAAATAAAATTATAATAATTAGACTATTGTGTCTGTTTAGCGTTATTGTTTACTATATTATCTTAATTTACCTATGTTAAAACTGGTTGTTATCAAACATCACTTTTGAAAACATGTATTGTTTATCATTCCATACCTATAAATATTCAGTGTTGTATAAAATATATAATTTATAAATATAGACCATTATAATAATAATAACGTAATAACTATTGACTTTGAGGTCGTCAATAAAATGAATATATTAATTATACTTATTAAGCAACGTATTAAATGTCTTATTAATATTTATTTATTTAGACTAAACAAACAGAAGATGAATCAAATGGAAAAACTAGTCTTGTCAAGAAGCAGCTGATGTCTATACACAGTGTTTGTCATTTAGCTGAGTCCACGAAAAATGTTCACTGTACAGATTCATCTACAAATTATATTTCTAAGGTGGTTGTGTCTACAGAAAATGTTTCTAATGCAGCTACATCTGCAAATAGTATTTATAATACTCCCATGCTTACGTCTCACATTAGTATTCCTAATACTCCCATGCTTATCTCTACTAATAGTATTTCTAATACAGATATGCTTTCATCTACAAATAGTATTTCTAATACAGCTATGCTTTCATCTACAAACAACAATACATTAATTGTATCTGACAATAGTACCCACAAAGAAGTTATTTCTAGAACAGAAAATATTTTTAGAGTGCGAATGCTTGAGTTTTTATATAAAAATTGTCTGGACGGTATTTCAGGAGCACCTTTAACGAAACCATATCCATGCACTTGTAACTGTTGCACGGTTGTGAATAGCTTACCGATAAAACAGTCGGCAGTATACAATCTATTTTTTACATCCAATGATAATTTAAGTGATCCAAATTTACATTGGGATATGAATTCCTCTAATGCGCAAGTTACTGGTGGTTCTGTATCCGCTACAAATTACTGTAATGCAAACAGATTAAACACACTAATTAATACAGAGTCTCCTAAAAATATTTGGATTAATGAGTTAACTTCTTTGATTATTAAAAATGAGAATACATCAGAAAGATATACTGTGACTGACACGAATGCTTCAAAAAAATTGAACCCTGTGCAAAATGTTTTGAATAAAGTCGATAAAGCTACTAAACATATTAAATCACATTTTTCGTTTTGTGACAAATGTAAAAAATCTAAATATAGTCAGTCTCATGGTTGTAAATGTTATAGCAAATCGTATAAGCATAATCATGATAAATATTATTTACTAAGATAATAATTTAATAATAATATTTAACTATTTATTTATTTTTGTTGTTGTAAAACTGTTGTTAATTTTTCCCCAAACATTATGTATTAAAAAAAAAAAGTTAAAAAATTTCTAGTATTTGGACTATTTTAAAAATATAATTATTTAATTCAAAAAACTCAAATGTATGTATTGTTTATTAGTATGTTACTTATAATATATTGTTTAGTACTTTAAAACTTAGGTTATGAATTGTTCCTTGTTAAAAAAAACCAATATCACACGGCTCATATCACATTGTATATCACAATATATTATATAACTGGTATAACTTTGCACATTAAATATTGATTAAATACCTACTGTAGTCTGTAATATTATTATACTGATAACTAATAAATTGCTTTGCTCTAAGCAATAAGCATTAAGTTATTTAGCTATCTTTAAAACATTGAAAGATTTGGAGTGACAAGATAAAACTAGAAGAAATTAAAATGTTCTTTTTCTTGTTTCATAATTTTTATGTAGGTTCTTTTAAGGCCTTTTAACCATGGGTCCGGATTCCCCCTTGAAATTGTTAAAAAATAGAAACATTTTAGCAGTGAATATGGTTTATTGCCTATAATATTATAAAAAATAATTTTATTTATTTGTTACTAAATTATTATCTACAAAATATTAACTTCATAAATTAATAGGGCATAATATTATTGTGAACAGTTTTCAACAACTAGTCACTAACCACTAATGTTGCAAATGTAGCACTTTATATTCTTCTTACAATCTGAACAATTTGAAATTGAAATATTTTTTTTAGATTTCCCAACTCCAATTGTTGTTACATTGTTTAATGTACGGTCATTATTTGTCGGTAACAAACAATAACATTTTGAATCGTCGTGAAAGTAACCATAAGTAGATTTGTAATTATCACTGAATTGTTTTTCATGGTCTATACTTATACTCGGTTGACGACATAAATTAGTATTTTCTTGAACATTTCCCAACAGTTCCGTTGCTAGCCTACAACTGTTTTTACATGTTAGAGGTATGTTATCATTTTTTTCAAGTTTTTGTTTCCACCACGATTTTCCATCAACTGTTGATTTCATATTACCAATCATGTTTATATTAGATATTTGTGATGATTTGTGTTTATAATCATTACTCTGAAAAACAGTAGTTCCAATCAGTAGCGTATACAATGGGGGTCAGATCCCTTCCCATTGACTTTGGAGTGGATCCCATATTGTGTTTGATGTGAAATTTGAATAAATTCAAATTATATTCATTGTTACTTATACTATTAAATATTTTACCACCTAAGTAAAAAGTTTTGAGAGTGTGGGGGATTTTCCAATTTCCCCATCTCATTTAGCTATGTCGTTTTCTTTTTTTGATCCCCCCCCCTTCAGAAATCATGTTTATGCTACACTTTCAATAATAACTTATTTTGATAATTCAAAGTAGGTAGGTATGGTATAAAACTAGATAATAATTATAATTATAATTCTACTTAGCTTTAGTTTAGTCAATTTTGGGTTTAGGACATAAGTTTATAAATCAAAATGGCTTGAAAAAAATCAATGAACCCGAATATGATATTAAAATTACGGGTTGCCACTTAAAAAAATGTAAGTTTTATTGCGCATGCGCAAGATACATGAGTTAAAAACATTGTGAGTCTAAGAAATGTACGATCCATTAGTCTAGTTCAGTGTTTCCCAACCGGTGGTCCGCGGTACCTTTCTTAGTTTTCTATTAAAAATTATTTTTTTTTTTAAACAGCAAAAAATATTTTATTTTACCGTAATATACGGTTATCTTATCGTATACAAAAATCACACTAAGTAAATTATTAGTAAAGTTTAATAATTATATATAATAGTACAGTAAAATAATAAAAATTTTCCAATAAATTTTTGTGTATTCTTGTTAATGAGCAAAAAAAAAAAAAGGTCTTCCTAGTTTCCGTAAAATTGAGGTGGTCTGCGACCTATAAAATATTATATATATAAATATTATTTAAAGTGGTCCGTGGTGGTAAAAAGGTTGGGAAACACTGGTCTAGTTTAATGTCCCGCAAACAGAATTGAAAAATATTTACATAGTAATGAGTAGTCAAGTGGCCCCTGATTTTTGGGACACAGGGTATAAAGGTATAGTCAGGCACGGCACTAGAATTTTTTTCCAAGGGGGGCAGAGTGGGGCAAATATTTTTTTTACATGGGCTAAAATTGTTTCAACAAATGCTGAGGTTATTTAAATGAAATATAAATATTTTCGTTTCATATAACATAATATAGCTATTAGCTATATAATATTACATACTTTTATATTGTATGCTCTAAACGTCTAAACATATAATATTTACAAACTTTTGAATAGTTAAAAATATTTTAAGAATAATATCAAATATTTTTTTTGTACCTTATGTAATATGTAAGAAAATGTTTAATCACAGACCTAAGACCTTCAACAACTATATTCATAATGATAACATGATATACAAAAATAATAATTTCTTTATGAGCTAAATATTGATTTTTTATACAATATTTTTTTATCATAGGCGCAATTTGGGCTAAATTTATGGGGGTGCTAGATTTATGTGGACCAAAGTAACACGTGGGGGGCTTCGCCCCCCACACCCCCATCATAACACCATTCATGAATTCATAATACTACCTGATTAATCAATAATTATTAATATTTGAAAAATAAATATATAATACAGGTAAATACGTTTTTTATTTTCATTTAAATATTAATATTATACTAAAGATATACGCCTTTGAGACATAGCAAAATTATTTATTATTTTATCTTTATAAATTTAATTGCTTAGATCTCTCTCAATATTTATAACTGACAAATCTGTAAATTTGGACTGTTCCATGCTTGTCCTAAGCCAATTCTTTATTCGGCGCATAGATGAAAAAGACCTTTCACAAGTAGCTGAGCTTATAGGAATAGCTAATCCTACTTGAATAAGTTTAAACAAGTTTGGAAAAACATTTTCAGTCACCACTTTCTTTATTCCAAGTACTTATATCAAAATCCAAATTTCCATTTTGTAAACAATTTTTTGTCAGCAACATTTCTGCTTTCAATGATGTTAAATCAATATTCACAACATCCTGAAATTATATTATCCTCACGACCTCACATGATTATTTTATTTACAAAATTAACCTACATTACATTAATCACAACAATATATTATATACATGGTTGTTAGGTACCTGTTTATAATTATTATGAATTCAATTAATGAGTTATTATTATTTAGTTTATAAATAATTTACTAGTTACGAACAGTGGCGTAGCCAGGGGGGGGTTTTGGGTGTTTAAACACCCCCCATTGACATTTCCCCCATAATAAATATATTGTTTATAGGGTTCGGGACTGCTTGCATGTTTCATCGTAGCGGTAGTAGGTTATTTTAGATAAGTTATACATTTGTCTTATCAAACAAAGTTTGAATTTGCAGATTTTTGCAAATTGTAGGAAAATTGTACATTTGAGCGATTTTTCGCATATTTGTGCATATTTTAAATTTTTTTAACTTAAATGTAGGTACATACAATTGTTAAAATCAAATTTGGATAACATTGAAAAATATCTTTAAAAATATTATGTTTGGTTAGGTATACAATAGGCGCTAATTTTGAGATTTGGGGAAGCCGAAGCCTAAAACCATACTATTATAAAATTTAGTAAATGTTTAGGAGACCTGTTAAAGTTCTTGGTGGAGCTTGGCTACGGTTGGCCCTATTTTCGTATATGGTACGTAAGACTTTATAAGTGTTTTGTGACAAGTCTGTGTTAAAACTATAATTGGCATCTAGATTCTAGATTGTACGAATAAATGAAAATCAGTAGATATGTGTTCGTTTATCACGGTGTTCGCATATCACGTTATTCATTATTAGGTACTCATTTATTACCTAGTATTTTATACCAGCATTTTTAAAAATCAAGTTTTATTTCACAATAGTTTAAAAATATCCAAAACGTGCAATAGTATCCTCCGTCCATCATATTAATCATTAATCAATATAAGGTACCTACCTATATTAAAATTTGTATACCCGTGTTTAAATTATTTTTTTCATGTTTATATAGGTACCTACTTATTTTTTAGTTTTTTATTATACAAATTGTAATATTATGTTTTATGAATTTTTCAAAAATAATATAAAAATGTAGCTACATATGTTTAAGCATATTTTGAAAATCTTGACTGCATATTTCGATAGTTTTTAGTGCAACAAGTCAAGTCCCAAATCCTAAATTTATTTATATACGAAAACTGTAAAAACTTGGTTTTAATCTATACTTAAACACCCCCCATTTCATAATTCTGGCTACGCCACTGGTTACGAACCTTGTAATGATTGATGAAATATGAACCTTTTTCAAAATCCATTTTCATAAACTGGTCTAATGAGTTGGCTAAAACTAAACTTTCATCCGAAAAACGGTATTTTATATTATTATTTATTATTATTATTATATAAGTCAAATCTTAGAAATTAATTTATCCTGTTGTCTATGACATAATACGTGTATAACCAATAACAATTAAATGATGCTGTTGAAAATTTGGGGGTGCTAATATGAATTTTGGGGGTGCTAAGCACCCCCAAGCACCCCCCAAATTGCGCCTATGTTTTTTATGCACCATACAGTAAATGGTTGAAAATCTTATAATATTGAAAAAGTTAACAAAAATGTATACAATTGCACTGATATCAGTAGGAATACAATTTGTTTTAAATAAAAACTTTTGATTACCTACCTTATATTTAACAAATACATTTTAAATTTTTAATTCAATACATTTTTAAATTGGTATTTGCATAGTAGTGTATGTATTGACTATTGAAGTACCTACTTTATATTTTTTGTTAAATTTTGGAGGTTAAAATAGTTCATATATATACATTAAAACATAGATACCTTAAGAAATCCTTTTTTATTAATTATCAAGTAATATGTGAACTAATTACCATGACAAATAAGATTATAAAAATAACAAAATAAGAAAATTGAATAAATTATTTAATTATTTTAAATAAGAAATTTGTCATGCTAATTACCAAACTAATATAAGTAGGTAGGTACGAATACCAACTCCTTACACAATAGTATTGTGTTAATCAAATAACATAAACATATTTAAAATAATAAGTCAACTAAAAATATTTTTAACTGTATACAACAAACATTAATTATATCGTACATATTTTTCAGTGGGGGGGCTGGCGAGGGGGCTGATCTGTTTTCTGGGGGGGCTAGAGCCCCACCTTGCCCCCCCTTGGCGCCGTGCCTGGGTATAGTGTACACTGTACAGTACCTATGTCTATGAGTAAGTACATTAATGTGTATTAAATATTAATAACAATTAATAAGTTGGTAAGGTAAGTAATATGCAATAACCAATGCCCAATAATAAAATTAATAAGTATTGATTTTGTAGTGATTCGGATTACAAGGCGTTTCATTAAGAGCACCAGATTTTAATGCCTGTGTTTTTTTTTATTGTGTGGCAGCTTAACAAGACATTTACCCAGCCACACTGGCGATTTGTATATGGTTTCAGCAGGGTGGTGGGATTTTAGGATTGACTTCTTTCCCGAATTGGTTAGAAATGGCCTCCCAGATAAATGTCGTGTACCAGACATAGATAATAATATTATATACTAGGTACCTACTTATTGGATTTTATTCTTTGAATTTTGAGGCCATGATGTTGAGTTCATGTCTATGAAAACAAAAGCTAACCATTGAAGAACTTACGAACCAACGAAGAAAAGCCCTTGAAGACCCTCCACCCAAAAAAAAAGAAACGGAGGCCCCAAACCGCAAACGCTTTTTGCGCCAATGTCACTACCAACGACCTGTTCCGGGTTTGGCCCAAGTGATGGCGGCCATTTAAATGTTTTACCCGATCGTCGCCTGCGCCGCCGCTGATGAGACCTCTCTCGTATGCATCGCTGCTGTACCGGTACAGCTTCAATCCTTCACGTATCTCGGCCAGCAAGTCCGGCGACGCTCCGCCGGCAAGCAGACGACGAGCACCGTAGTCGGCCGCCGAAGCTGCCTCGGCCTCGACCGCCGCGGCCAGCAAGACGTCCAGTCGGCCGTCCGCTCGTTCGCCTAGTAATCGGTCGGCCACTGGACCTGGCCGCAGCCCCGTAACGAACTTGTCCACGACCGGTGTCCACTGCGGCTGGTCGACGACGCCGAACCCGCACGGCACGGCGGCCGCCCTCACCCGCCTGTACCAGTCGTACGCCCGTTCGCCGTCAACCTGGCGGATCGCGTAAAAGCGAGCGCGGACCCGGAAATCGGAAGCCGCCACGGTTTTCTTCCGGTCGTCACGGCCCGGAAACCCGTCCATGTATACGATGTACCTATATAATATGATATAATATAGGAACAGTACTTATGCTGTATGTATATATTATCACGTTGCCGTGGTTATATGGCGTTTTCGACATTTTCCGAAACTCTGTCCCTCGTTTCCATGACAAATTATAGCACATATTATAAAATGGCATATTTTATTGAGTAATAGGTACACAGCACCACACTAGGCGTCACTAAATGGTGGTCCGCGGACGGATTTTATTCGACCCACAGACGAAAAATAAATTACTTTTATTTTTTATTTATTAATAAAATACACAATAAGAGTAGGTATGTGCCATATAATACAAAAGGAAAAAAATCTTGAATAAAGAAGCCACCCACTGATGACACTTTCGTAAATTACTTAAAGAATGATATATCCATCAAAATTACTATTTACAGGTTTTAGATTTCGTGGACGTTAATAATAATAAACAAAGAAACCGTTATTACAATACAGTGGTAGCCTATAGTATACTGTATAGGTGTAGAGAAACGGCTACAACTCATTTGCGCACATTTACCTTTTTTACAACTCATTTGCGCACAAAAACATAACTCATTTGCGCACAATTTACGAACAATAGAAACCTTTTTTCCAAGAATTTTATCCACGTATAGGGTGTACATAATCTCCGTACCACCATATTTTCGATTTGGTCAATACTGATAGTGGACAATTATTATACTCAAACAACATTTTCCTTCACCCTTTAAAAGGCTTAGGACTTTCTGTTTCATCATATTCTGATGTTATAGACTGGCGGGTTTAAAAATTTTGTTTTAGCTATTACACATTATTCAAAATTTTGTCAAATTACAATAAATTAGGTACAATCATTTTTACAAGTCATTAAAATTTTGTCAAATTACAATAAATTAGGTACAATCATTAATAATAAATTAATCATAATAAAGATTAAAGCTTGTCCCACACGACTAGTGTACTTGGCGAGTATTAATGCCATTTTTGATAGATAAGAACTGATGTGAAATCACGTTATGCTTTAAGACTATATAAGGCTATATTGAAGATTTTCCAATAACGGGTGATCATTGATGATTGATATCAATAATATTGAACGTGTAACGTGTTGGACAGCTTAAGACACCCTGTACACCCAAAACTGTACCTAAAAGCTGGTTTTCATTGTTTACTATTTTGTGCGCAAATGAGTTGTCGTAAATTTAAAAAATTTATTAATATGTGCGCAAATGAGTCTCCACCAGAGAAACGTAAGAACTAACCAGTAACCACCCGTACCCTCAACAATAATCATTCATATAACATTCCATCCACTAAATAGTTTAATCAAAATGTTAAAAAATAAAATTAGGATCCTCTCAATTTTACTAAATAAATACCCTAACTCATATTACCTCATGACTATTTTTGTCATAAGAACGTTGGAATTTTCAAATATTGAATACATTAAATACCAAACATAGTTATCTTTACCCAATACACAAAATTACATTCAACTAAACTTTAATATAATTTAATATGTATTTTATGTATAATTGTATATTCTCTCTCCAATTACAAATATAACATTATAATATTTATAAAAAGGTGGGGGTAAGTAGGTATCGCTGTGATGTACAGTAGGTTACAGATGGGGCACTGTAAATTGTAATGATGGTGTTAAATTTGAATTCAATGATATAATATCATTATATAAGAAAATATAGGTATGAGTGTATGACTTGAGTTAGTTTAGTTAAGTCAACGTTCAGAATTACGAATTGTTCTAAAACGTAATATATATAGGTACCTAGTTATCAAATAATATACTTAACTATAAAAGTTAAATGTTAATATGGAAAACAAATAACAAAGTTAACTTAACTCTGTTATAAAAACAAATTAATTGGTTTTTTAACATAAATAGATAAGTTTTTGGCCGAGATACAACTTTATTTTATTTTATATTCTCATATTGCATTTTTTTATACCTTCGTTTTTCTCTTTTTTTTTTTAGATTTTTAAGATTCCCTGCGTTAATCATATAGTATAAAACGACGATATAAGTAGTTGACAGTATTATTAATGAAAAATAAAATACAATACCTATAGGTATGTAAGTACTAATATAACTATTTTATTTTGATTGTTCATACTCAAATCTACATCAATTGTTATACGCATATTAACATAACTAACGATTTATTATAAGCCATATTATTGTGGTTATTATTACAATTTTAGTGATTTATTAATACCTTTAAATAACAATCTAATTAAATCTATCATAAAATAATTTAAATTTAAAAAAAAAATCTAAGAAGAAAAATTAATCATTCTTCGAATTCATATAATTTATTAAAACCGATAGAATTGAATAGCAATGACCCATTGTCTGTAAGTAAAAAAAAAATATATATTAATAATTAAATATTATGCAGCCGTAATACTTAAGTACTAAATAATAATAATATTTAGTTAATATTGCAGGTACCAGCTACACCTTGCTATATATGTAAAAATAAACAAATTATCTAACATTTTGGCATTGTGAAATTATTTCATTGTAGAAAATAAGGCTTAAGACATTTTAGATTCTAAAAGGAGGACTGAATGAAAATTAGTTTACTGATGCAGATGTGTGTTTTTGACCACTTTTTATAAATGTTATACTACAAAATTACATCGATCTACAACTTTGAGTGTGGTTACTGGTGGAAATGTTGATCTAGTTGGTACTTCGGGGAGGTCAAACGTAAAAATGTCAATGTGTACCTATACTTAACAAAGTATAAAACAAAACACTAAACAGTCCTTGCCTCATATTTATGACAAACCAGTTTTGATAAAATCGATTTTATTCATTTAATATAGGTATATATAATACCCCAAAAGGGTTATGAGTACAACTTATAATAAGGGAAAAGTACAGAATAAATTAAGATACTTATACAATCAATATATGAACAATATTGATATAAAATTCTAAACTAGGTACTCAATTTTATACATAGGCATTTTGTTTTTTTTTTTGTAATTTTATAATGTCGTTATAACACTATAAACTGTAGATACACATCTTTTTTAGCCATTTATTATTACACAATATTATTTAAATTTGAAAATTTTTGTACTAGTGCGTCATACATAATATAATATATTATATGAATGATTAAATATTTTGTTGAGCTTAAAAATATTGAAAGTTTAATACTAGAAAGTGGAAACTTATATTATTTTGATATTTATTATGTTAGAAATAATAATTTCAGAATACGAATTCCATAAAAGTATTAGTCTGTAGTATTATAATTTTAGATTAGTTATAATTATTCTAATAATACGTACTTTAAAAAACATTTCCATATTAACAATTTTCATTCTAGAAAATCTTAACTTTTTCTGATTAGCATTATTCAATTGCATTGTTAATAATATCAATTTTTTACACTTCATATCCATTTCGGTCCAATTACTACTGTACAATGCGAATATTATTGAATCTTTCTAAAATATAAAAGTACCTATTAATTAATATACTCTTAAACTTGCACCTGTATGATTCGTTGAAACCGATCATTCTTTTACTGCGAGCTTTTATTGATTTTGGAAAGCGTCGAAAATTATCAGAATAATGTTTATACTATAATATAAAGTATGCAGAAAACTTAAATACTACACAATGTTATATAAAATACACGATTAGAATAATTCTTATCTATTGATACATCTTTTTTTTAGTTTATACATTTATATATTATATTACATAATAAATCTTATCAGGTGATATTATGTAAATACTTATAAGTTTTGAAATAATTATTGTTCATATTCAATTATAAATTTGTGTTATTAAATACAATGCACATCTCTAAATCATACTAAAAAATAATAAATTTAAAATTACTTGGTCGTTTATGTTTTCAAATAAATAACATGCCATAAATATTTGAAACAAGATTGAGGGAATTGCAACAACCGTTTTTACTGTCGTATCACCAGAAATCGCAAATGTACCATCATTGAAGAAACTCTAGAATCATTTTACTCCAGTTAAATTATCACTTCATCTACATTCGTACATGACTTATTATTTTGTATTTAATAATTTAAAAATTGTATTACAATAGCTATTATACTTTACATAATAGCCTATTATATTGTAATACAATTTGTAAGTATTCCTATATTTTCTTACCATTGTTAAATTAAACCCAAGTATGATGAGTGAAATTGACGAGATAAAAATTTGTGACAACATGACTCGTTCAAATATAGTTAAAAATAATTCAAATTTCCTAAAAAACAAATAATAATATTAAATACGTAAGTATTAAAATAGTAAAATACATACCAATTATCTGCCATCCATGTAATAATATAATAAAATAAGGTAATTCATAATTTTGATAATCATAATATGATTTTGGTTTTATAATTAAAGCGCCACTTTTTTTCGTTGACATAATTACTCGTACATTAAAAAAGCTACCAATAACTCGGAAGTATACAAGATTGAGTTTTTTTTTCTCAACTCACAAATTGACAAATTGTTGTTGAAAAACCACACCCACTAAAAAGTTCACCCCAGTCAGTCTGATGCATCAGACCGTGATCCCATGAACCATCATAGGGCACACTCGGAAATACTGTAAGCATGATCCACGATATGTAAGATGTGGGAAGACCTCCTCTCAAATTCCTATACTAAGTCACGTGATTCTCCTGCCAGATGTGCTCTATGCAATGCTAGCCACAATGCTAATTTTAAAGGTTGTCCCGACCATGAAAAGCTTAAACATTGTAATCCTTCAAATGGGCGAGATCCTTCCATTCTTACTCCTCCGTAAAAAAATTAAACAGCTTAACGCATCTTTTAGTGCTACCCAACATATTACGCTTAAATCATTTCCTCTGATCAAAATCATTCTCAACTTTCTTTTAATAGATAGTGAAACTCTATTAACCTAATTTATCTCCAAATTCTCAAATATCATAAAACCCCATTCTTACCTCATTATCAA